GTTTGCTGGTTAAACCCACCAGCCACTCCTCAGAAAGAAGGTTGGGCAATCTACTTCCATAGTGATACAACCTCAGACACTCAATGAGAGGTTGCTATGAGTCGGGTCTGACTCGATGGCAAATAACAGCAACAACCTAGGGCAGTTTTATTCTGTCACATGAGGTCATTGTGAGTCAGACTCAGCTTGAGGGCACACAACATCAACAACCTAAATTGGTTTCTGTAGACACTGTTTTTTTCAAATTGATCCTTCTTTGAACCATATGCCCCTTTTCTATACTAATACCAACTTCTCTGAAATATTGACACATTTCCAAAGGATTAATATTAGAGATGCGTGTGTATGTATACATACTAGTGCTCCTCTCTGGTGGCATAGTGCCTAAGGCATTTGACTGCTAGCCAGAAGGCTGGTGGTTCAAACCCACCAGCCACTCCTCAGGAGGAAGGCTGAACAATCTACTTCTGTAGAGCTACCACCTCAGAAACCCAAGGAGGGGTCCTATGAGCTGGAATCGACTCGATGGCCGTGAGTTTGGGTTTTTTTTTTTATTATTATTTAGTGCTCCCTTCGGCTTAAAATAAAAAAAAAAAAGAAAAATTCACTGTCATCCACCAATTTCTACTCATAGCAACCCCCACTGGGTTTCCATGGTGGTAAATCTTTAAGAAAGTAGATTGCTTGCCTCCATCTTCTGGAGCAGCTGGTAGGTTTGAATTGCCAACCATCTGTTAACAGTCAAATGCCTTAGGCACTGCACCACCAGAGCCACTCTGCTTAAAGATAATCTTATAATTTGACCTTCCCAAAGTTTAAAGGAATACTTCATTATGATCTGACTATCTGGAAACTCCCTTTGGGGGCTATTTCTGAAGTTGACAAGGTCGAGTCTATGGAAGATTCTATCTCTTAAGCAAGAATTCCTGCAGTCTTTAGGTTCTCATATATCTTCCTTCTTTCTGTTTTTGTAATGCTTTGCACTGCAACAGTTCTATTCTGCAGAGTCTGGGTGTACCTCACTGGAACCTGGAGTCAGTTTACTCCTTTTTTCCTATTAAGGGAAAGGGGAAATGTATCCTAGTGGCAAAGAGTTCTGGTGGCACTGTAGTTATAGCATTGGGCTGCTAACCAGAAGGTTGGGACCACTCTGCAGGAGAAAGTTGAAGTGGTTACTTCCATAAAAATTTACAACCTTGGAAATTCTATGGAGCAGTTCTTCTCTGTCCTATGGAGTCGCTATGAATCAGAATTGACTCAGTGGCAGTGGGTTTGGGGTTTTGGTTTGGCAAAGAACACTGGCAAAATAGTAGAGTTGTTAAGACCAATTCCTTTGTGGAATATGGTGTGCCTGTTGAGATAGTAAATAAAAAAAGAATTTTTTTTATAGTCATAGGACTATCAAGAATAGGAAGAATTTCCCTGATTGTGCAACTACATGTCTCATATCCAACCCCCAATAAGCCCTATCGAATTGCATAATTTTAGGCAAGTTACTTAAACTATCTTTGCCTCAGTTTCCTCCATTTTAAAATGTTGTTGTTGTTGTTATGTACTGTCGAGTCAGATCCAACTCATAGTGACCCCTCCTTGGGTTTCCGAGGCAGTATCACTTTGGAAGTAAATTGCCCCATCTTCCTTCCAAGGAGTGGCTGGTGGGTTTGAACCGCCAGCCTTCTGGTTAGCAGTCAAGTGCCTTAGGCACTATGCTACCAGAGCTCCCCCATTTTAAAATAGGGATTATAATAATGATTATCTTATAAGGTTGTTGTGAATATTAAATGAGTCATTATGTATAGAATACTTGGAACAGAACATATTATTATAAATGTTATGAATAAATATGTTTGATAAGGACCTAAATGAATCAGCTTTGTTTAAAAGTCCATCTTATATAGTTGGGACTGATTGTCCCACAGCTAGGTTCTCTCACAGAGTTCTAAACTTATTATCTTACGTTATTATTATAACTTGTCATAATAACTATTATAAGTTATTATTCTTAAAATTTTAGGGCCAAATCTGGGTTATTAACTCATTCTCTCCTTCTTTCTAAAACACCCTAGTGTGTAACTATTAACAATGCAAGGCTCTAAGGGAAAATTATTAGTCTGGGTCCCTAATTGAGAGTAGCTTCTCACACTCAAGGTGAGAAGTATAACTTTCTAAAAAAGTAAAACAAAAATAGATGCTTCCAGGCCACGTGGGACCAGGGAATGGAGCACAAGAGGAAAGCTCTTACTCTTGCCTTAATAAGTGACTCAGAGCCTCTCTACCTGGCAAATCAGTGACTAGTACATGACGGACAAGAGACTAGTATATAACAGGTATGTTAGGTTTAAATATTGGAGAGATTACTCTAGATTACTCCAGAGTTTCTCAACTCTTTAAAATTACAGCTAATGACCTGTATTATTACTGGGTCTGACCCCAAACCTTCTGCATCAGAATAGAGGGTGAGACTTGGCTTTTTTTTTTTTTTTTAATTCTACATATAACTCCCATATGCAATCATAAGAAGCAATCAAAGCTTTGCTCCAATCTAAAAGCATCACTCCCCCAGCATTTTCCATACATTGCCCAGCTCAGATTATTCTAGTCCTGGACATTCCATGGGAGCTCTGGTGGCATAATGCCTAAAGCATTTGACTACTAATCAGAAGGCTGGTAGTTCAAACCCACCCGCCACTCCTCGGAAGGAAGATTGGGCAGTCTACTTCTGAAGAAATATTGCCTCGGAAACCCAAGGAAGGGTCACTATGAGTCGAATTGACTCGATGGCAATGAGTCTTGGGGTTTTTTTTTTTTTTTTTTTTGGGACATTTCATAGCAGATATCATAGTAGATATCAAAAAGTTGGCATCAAGGGGAAATCTGCTTAGGTTAAGGGAAATTGAGAAGTTCTGTGCCAAGAGAGTAGACAACAAATATCATTTCTAAGATTTCTAACATGGCTAAAGATGTCTAATGGTTAAAACTTTCATGTGTTTCATATTGCTGTCGGGTCTGACTCGACGGCACATAACAACAACAACAACAGTGTGAGTAAATGGACAAGTGAACAGAATCAAATGTAAGGGCTTAGAAGTGACTTCCACTTGTGATACTGAGTTACGAGGCAACAACATTTATTTCAATAGCGCCTTAGATTATCTTTGATTCAGTATTAATTGTGAGCTTTTGAAAGCTGACTTTGGAATTTCTAGCTAAGTAGATAAATAGGATCTTTTGTTTGTATGTGTATGCATGCATCCATATGTGCACACACATGCATGTTGTGTTTGTTTTAAATATAGTAAATTCCAAGTTGCTTTGTCCTTAAAATAGCTGAAAGATAAAACACTTACTTTACTTCTGGGAATGCTCTCATGTTACACTTGGAGGTAATTCAGCTTGTCTTCCCTTGCCTCGCTTTGACCCAAGACACTGTGTCATCTAACCAACACAAAATTGCACTATTCTTGCTAAGACTTTTTTTTTTTGTAATACTATTTTCCCAGGATACAGGCTAGAGCCTTCCTACTTGCAGTGTGGACCAGCAGCATTAGCATCACCTGGGAGGAGCTCTGGTAGCATAGTGGCTAAGGCACTTGACTGCTCACCAGAAGGCCGGCGGTTCAAACCCACCAGTCACTCCTCAGAAGGAAGGTTGGGCAATCCTACTTCCGTAGTGATACTGCCTCGGAAACCCAAGGAGGGGTCGCTATGAGTCGGGGCCGACTTGATGGCACATAACAACAAACAACAACAGGTTCACCCTGACCTGCAGAATCTGTGTTTAGACCAGATCTTCAAGTGATCCTCAGGCACATAAATATTTCAAAAGCACTAGCTTAGAGCAGTGTTTCTCTCTGAATCATTGGTAAAGTGATCACCTACATTAGAATCACCTAGGATGTGACCCTAAAAAGTAGGTTTCTAAACTCTACCAAGGGCAAAATGAGACAACTCTCTGGAGTGGGACCCTTAGAATTGTATTTTTAGCAAGTTTCTCTCCTTTACACGTATGTAATCTAAAGTTTGAGAATTATCAGAGAATCATTTTAGAACATTGCATGTATTATCACTTATATGTATATGATCTCTTCATGAGACTAATGTCACTGAGCAAAACATACCCAGAATTATAAGCAAATCAAACAGCACATTTTGCTATAGGAACACAGTCAAATACACACACACACACACACACACAGGCACATACACACCACATTAAAAATAACTGCAAATGCAGAGAATTTGCTTTACAACTAGAAGATCAAAACCACACAAGGTGATATTGTTGAATATCTGCAATAGAATGTGGAAGAACTGGTTAATTGTGTGAGGGGGAGGGAATAACTCATGAATAATAATGTCATTAAACATCCTGTACTCTTGATTAAACACTGCTCTCTTGTATACTCTTTGAAACATTATTAAAAACTCATTTGGTTCTAATAGGTTACTTTCCATACAGGAAAAAGTATTTTGTGTCCATCACACATGAAAAAAAAAGTTCAAAGTTTCACAAACACTAAAACTACATTGTTTTTATTCCCTTTCTATGCAGACATATCGTTATTAATAATTCCTTTTGAAGTTTTTACTCCATCTATGCAATTTCATTAAAGAAACAGTCAGCCTTTTGTTAGGTTTGTTGTTAGGTTTTGATAGGTATAATTTTCACTTTCCTCTGGATCTTTAACATCAAAAAAGCACAACTCAAGCTCCATTTTGGAAGGTTCAAGTTATCTCTACAAACATCCGGACGTGGAGTGTCTCATATCTCTACTTAGATCTAGTTAACATTTTAGAATTGCAAAATAATTTGCTATTAATATACACCAAAAAGATTAATATACAGGACTTTCTTTTTTTGTTTGTTTGTTTGACTTAGCGCTCACATGGAAAGTTAAAGAGAAAAAAAGGAGACATATGAGCCAAGACAGGAAATTGAATTTCAAAAGCACTAGCAGTCCAAACACCTTTGGAGTCATACCTCCCAGAAGGTTACGTACCTCGGAGTATAGAATTCCCATGCTGGTTCTTCACAGGCTTGTTTCACTGCTAAAGTTGATCTTCTGGAGGTATTTCTGATTAATATCAGAACCTTTCCTGACTGGAAGAAATGTCCCTAGAAGCCCAGGTTAGTGCCAAACCCTTTCTTTCCACACCTGTCAATGCTTTCCCAGCAACTCCAGCAGCAACACACCTTCTAGAGAGCCCAGCTCAGCGAAACAAAGGCATTGGTTAACAGTATAATGAGCCAGGCGGTGTATCATCTAATGTTACAACCCTGAACAGCCCGTTTGTGAGTCATATTTGCTCTGCCAATGGCAGCATTCAAAAGAGAAGGAAGTCAAGTTGAGGGGGGAAAGGAAAGTTCTCACACTGGCAGGAAGCTCTCTGAGTTTGAAACAGGGCATTGTAGTTGGGACATTTCCTAACTGAAATCGGGTTGTCAGTGGTCATTGGAAAAGGCTAGAGAACACCACATTCTTCATAGTCATGAAAAATAATCTTCAAACTTGTCAATATGAACTTTTTGGTATTTTTAAGACAGACAAAATTATTTATTATTCCTTTACGTTTTTGAGTATATAAACTAATAAAAATAAGAAATAAAATAATTAGTAAATTCAAGTCAATTTATAAATTATATTATTTTATATAAATAATGTGCTCACAATCACTTTCAAGGATACAAAAAAAAAAAAAAAAAAAAAGCCTAAACTTAACTGTGAAGAATCAGTCCCATTTACATTCTAGTTAATTGTTGTTGCTATGTGCAGTGGAGTCGGACCTGACTCATAGCGACGCCTCCTTGGATTTCAGAGGCAGTATCACTACGGAAGTAGATTGCCCAACCTTCCTTCCGAGGAGTGGCTGGTGTTCCCTTAAAAAGCTCTGGTAGCATAGTCGTTAAGGCACTTGACTGCTAACCAGAGGCTGGCGGTTCAAACCCACCAGCCACTCCTTGGAAGGAAAGTTGGGCAATAGACTTCCGTAGTGATATCGCCTTGGAAACCCAAGGAGGGATCTCTATAAGTCGGGTCCAACTCAACGGCAAACAACAACAAGGTTGTTGTTGTGTTATTATATGCCGTGGAGTCGTGGAGTCCTTCCGAGGAGTGGGTAGTGGGTTTGAACCGCCAGCCTTCTGGTTAGCAGTCAAGTGCCTTAGGCACTATGCTACCAGAGCTCCCAACAATACAGTTACTGTATTTAATTTTCCTTTTGAAGCAAGTCAAGTTCCAGCTACTTACACCATCTTGTAAATCTATTAAACTAAATTTACCAATATGATAAATCTTAAGTTGTCTTCAAGATTCCAATATTATTTATAAATTTAAGCAAAATATTTTATAATATTCAGTTTAAAAAATCGTGCTGAAAATCAACTACTCTATTGCACATTGTGAACTGAATAACCAGGCTACTTGATTAAACATAACAAATTTTCTTGAACATTGTAATCACTTTCTACACTAAATACAATACTAAATATTCACACATTGTTTCTGAACTTAACACAATCATATCAATATTTTAAGCCTTTCCAGAATTAAAACACTCCCCACTCCTCTCCCCCCTACACATGCACAGTCATCAAAGAGAGTTCAGCCATCCCAAGTAAATTAAAGTGATGTTCCAAACACTTGTGGTTCCTTAGTGGCCAGAGATCGGGGGCTGGAATCCAAGGCCTGTACCTACATACACATCCAGAGAATTTCTTCCTACTCCACTGATGGACACAGCGAACTATTTTTGTAATTGCTATATGGTAAATTCCTACCTCCCAGGAGTGTAAGAATTAGCTAATTCTGTTACAGAATAAGGAAATCTGCAATGCCCAGTAAGATTGCAACTCACTTCCTCTTTGACTTGGTTTTATTTTCCATCTTTAGTGTCTGAAGACATTTCAAGGTCTTAGCATTGGCTTAAAAAAATTAATGTCATTTCTATTGGATACTTCACTCTCTTATGCAAATCTTTTGTAACCTCCTTCAGTCTTTTGAAACCTCTTTTAAGCAGTCCCTTGTGGTGCAAGCAGTTAACCAGCTTGGCTATTAACAGAAAGGTTGGAGGTTCAATTCTATCCAGAGTGCCTTGGAAGAAAGCCCTTCTGATATGCTTCCAAAAAAATCAGCTTTGAAAATATTGAGGAGCACCATTCTACACTGGAATACACGAGGTCACCATGAGTCAGAATTGATGGTAACGTAGGTAGCGCAGTGCCCAAGGCATTTGACTGCTAACCAGAAAGCTGGTGGTTCAAATCCACCAGCCACTCCTTGGAAGGAAGGCTAAGCAATCTACTTCCGTAGTGATAACACATCGGAAACCCAAGGAGGGGTCACTATGAGTTGGGTCTGACTCGACAACAGTGGGTTTGGTTTTTTTGGTTTAGTAGTGTAATGGTTAAGGCATTTGACTGCTAACTAAAAGGTTAGTGGTTTGAACCCACCAGCCACTCCATGGAAGAAAGATAAGGCAATCTGCTTCTGCAAAGATTTACAATCAGGGTCACTACGAGTCATAATCAACTTGATGGCAATGAGCTTGAGTTTGGATTTTTAACTGATTTGTGTGGAGAGCATTCTGTGCTCTCACTTCCTCTCTGCTAAGGTTGCTGCTCGTTTTCTCCTCCAAGGTCTTTCCTCCCTGACTGAACTCTGGAGATTTCTTTAATTTTCTGTCAGGATCACAACTCATCAATTTGGATTCTGCATCTCTCTCTTGAATGTTTCCAATTCTAAAGGTACAATACTCATAATTACAATTTGTGAAAGATTAACTCTTTCATTGTAGGGTTAACTCTGAAAACAAACCAATAAAAAAGCAATTGACTCATTGAAATTTAATACATGGATTTAATTCTAGGTCAGTGATTCTCAACCAGAAGTGATTTTACTTCCAGGAAGGGTTGTCAGATTTAGCAAAAAAAATAAAATAAAATAAAATAATAATACAGGATGCCCAGTGACAGGTCAACTCGGAGACAATGGTGCCTAAACCAGGAACGCAGACGTGGGGATGCTGAGAAGAGGAAGAACTGTAGAAGAGGGTTTTGTTGTTATTATTTGCTAACTTGTTGTTGTTGTTATGTGCCATTGAGTCGGACCTGACTCATAGCGACCCCTCCTTGGGTTGCTGAGGCAGTATCACTACAGAAGTAGATTGTCCAACCTTCCTTCTGAGGAGTGGCTGGTGGGTTTGAACCGCCAGCCTTCTGATTAGCAGTCAAGTGCCTTAGGCACTATGCTACCAGAGCTCCTTATGTGCTAACAGTCTTTATCAATTATGAGTTATGAGGCCATAATCCCACTTTTCTATATTTTGTCCTATGATGCTGACACTGGCACTTTGCAAGCCATATTTCTTTTTTCCTAGCTTGTTGTTGTTGTTGTTGTTATGTGCCGTCGAGTCGGCCCCGACTCATAGCGACCCCTCCTTGGGTTTCCGAGGCAGTTATCACTATGGAAGTAGGATTGCCCAACTTTCCTTCCGAGGAGTGGCTGGTGGGTTTGAACCGCCAGCCATCTGGTTAGCAGGCAAGTGTCTTAGCCACTATGCTACCAGAGCTCCCTCCTGTTATATTCTCCCCATAGTGAACATTCAAGGGAAACTCCAAAGCTGAAGCCACCTACACACTTGCTGTTCCATCTAACATCATCCCAGCAACAACGCTTTATCCTGGAAACAATTGGTCCAGCTTTTTCTCACACTCCAAGAACCAGCCTAGTTACATCTTTCAGAGATGCCAGCACCTTTATGCCAACTTCATGGTGCCCATCCTTCGAATTCCTGAGGTACCAGCAACAACCAGGCAATGGCTCTTCCTCAAGGTGGGGTTCCAGATTTTCAGGGTCCTTCCCCTAAGTTCCACAGCTCTGATAATTCCAAAGTCTTCTCTTTGTTTCCCCAGCCATAGTAGGTGCAGCTGTTCCTGAAATTCCACCTCTGTGTTACCTCAGTGTGGCCTCCTTGCCTCTCAGTCCTCCAATATCTTTTTAGCCAATTAAATAATTTCTCTTAAAATAACTAGTGTGGTTTTTCTGACTGAATCCTGACTGACAGAATACTGTAGAGATGTTCAGAAGCTAAACATAATAAGGCTTTTCAACTACTCTGATCAAAGATGCATGAGATCGAGGATGGCATGCATGATTCTGGAATGGGAAAGCTGACGTATTTTGATACTCTTCACCAAAATGCAAAACACTGTAAGAAAAGCAAGATTCGGGAAAGGGAAGAGAGAGATGATCAGTTCAGTTTTATACCAGTTGTGTTCAAAGGACCTGTAGCACATCTAAGTGGAGATATCCAACAGGAAGTCTGGTATACCCTTATGGAATTTTGGAGTAAGATTTGGCTAGAGGTAAAGATTTGGAGAATCAGTAGCATATACAACAGTGACTTTCTACAAAAAGAGCATGGGGGCAGCATCCTCCAGCTTCCTTTAGCTTCACATGAGGGAGAGAGAAGGATCAACAGCAACAACCCAAGGCTGAATTCTATGAGCCAAAAGTCAGACATGCTGCTGCCTTCTAATCTTTTTACTATTCTGACACATTTACTGCTCCTCTCACAGCACTCTACTTCTCTACTAAACCAAAAAACAGACAAACAAACTCACCGACTCATAGCAACCCCTCCTTGGGTTTCCAAGGCAGTATCACTATGAAGGTAGATTGCCCAATCTTCCTTCCAAGGAGGGTCTGGTGGGTTTGAACCACCAGCCTTCTGGTTAGCAGTCAAGTGCTTTAGGTACTATGCCACCAAGGCTCCTACTTCTGTACTGGGTTTGATCATTCATTGCAATGGTCACACAGAACTCACAGACAATAATCATGATTGTGGGGTTTATTAGGAAAGCAACAGGTTACAATTCAGGTTCAGGAACTCTCAGTATACAATTCTTCCATCGGGACAGCCTTCCCTCTGCCATGCACACAGACATGCCTCTCTTTGGTGCTGGGCTTCTCAGCCTGGCCTCCTCCCTGCTCAGGCAAGTGTTACAAAGCACGTTTAGCTCTGCTGATAGGTGCAACCCATCTGTCAGCAAGCCTCCTGCCCAAAAGCACTCAGCTCTCTTACTCTGTGGGCTGGTAACCCTGCTGCTCTGTCTCATGCTGGTCTTTCAGTTCTGCTGCTAA